CCTGTCAGTGTTGCATGAGCTATACACTTAGCGTATCCTTCAAAGAGCATGGTTCCAGTAAAACATGAGATGTGGTGCGGCTGTATCTGATCTAATAATCAGATTTACAACACTGCAGAGGGCATTTGTCTTGTGTTGAGGATACAGTAACAGATGATTTCTAAACACCCTTTGCCAGGCTTTAACAATGTGCATTCAATGTGGTTAGATGAGAAGTGAGGAAGAGCCTTGTTTGTAAAGCAGTCTAAGGGAGCGCATTTAGAGACTACACACTGCTAACAAAGCTGTCCCCTGCCCACCTACCACAGTTGGTCACCTCCTGTTAGTAGAGGTGTATGAGAGGGCCTGGCAGCCTGCTCTCATCTCCAGGGCATGTTTACATACCTATCCTGAGGTCCAGCTCCTGCCTGACATCAACAGCATCACTTGTTTTTTGATCAGGTTGGGTGAGGTTCTCGCAGGCTGTTCTGACAGCATGGAGTGTGATCTCTGAGAAACGGGCTCGGAACACACAGAGGTTTGGCTTTACTGTCACAGGAGCACAGAGAAAAAAAACAAATCAAACAGTGGCTCCAACACCAATGGAAAGGAGCAATTAATAAACAGCCATCTTCAAATGAGCGTGCTGTCAACCTGTTCTACAGTGTTCCAATAGCTGACCATGCTTCTGGACTATCAGAGCTACATATTTAACAGTCAACATTTAACCTGGGCACAGGAAGATCGAGAACCTGCCTCTGCTACAAGTTCTCTGAGCAGCAATACCTGTCACATCAGCACTTTAATGGAACTCGGATGAAGAAGCTGCTCTACGCACCAGCTTTGCAAACGTGAATGATCTCAAAGCCAATGTTCTCTCCTTCTCGGTCACAGTCAGTCCAGATCACCAGAGCCTGGCACTGCTGGATTTCTCGTTCCAGGGTTCTCTGAGATGAGGAAATACCACACACTGAGATATACCAGGCCACTTGCTTTGTCATTTAGCTTTAGAATGAAACTGAACATGAAATACAACGTGCATCCATAGAGACTGTTGAAATAAGGTTTTGTAATTGTGTGTCTCATGAGATCAGGCAGCTGTCAAAAGAGCTGAGTCATTTATTTACATCTGACTCTGTTATAAAGCATGGCTTGGCTCGGATCGTGCCACCATTGTGCTGAAAATGGCATTTTTTTGGTCAAATCGAGATGCTGTTGCCAATTCCACCTTGTTGGAAAAAATATTTCTACTTTTAGCAAAGCAGCTGTTCCTTTACTGCTCTAATGTTTCTATTCATTAGGGACTGTAGTGACAGGACAAGGGGTAACGGGTTCAAACTTAAACAGGGGAAGTTTAGACTGGATATAAGGAGGAAATTCTTTCCTGTTAGGGTGGTGAGGCACTGGAATGGGTTGCCCAGGGAGGTTGTGAATGCTCCATCCCTGGCAGTGTTCAAAGCCAGGTTAGACAGAGCCTTGGGTGGCATGGTTTAGTGTGAGGTGTCCCTGCCCATGGTAGAGGGGCTGGAACTGGATGATTTTAAAAGCCTTTCCAACCCAAACTATTCTATGATTCTATAATGTACATGAGCAGGAGACTTTTGATGTCACAAACAGCACGTGTATGTGTATATATATATATATATATATAGTGCTATGATACACAGGAGGAATTTGTTAAACCACAGGAAGTTGGATGTTAAGGACAAAGGTACAATTGCCCTCCTGTCTGAGGCAATGTTTGCAGAACCTCTGACCTCAAAAGAGTTTCAGGGGAACCTCTTAAAAACAACATACCTTGATATCCACGTAGTTTTCAGGGCAATACTTCTCAATTTCAGCATCAAAAAGAGCTAGAGGGTTGCAGCTATGCCTAGGAAAGAGGATAAAGAGCGTGCATAACAAAAACTAAAGCATCTGTTGTGAGACACTAACTGCTGCTGTCTTGTGACGAAGTGCTGTTCAAGTACTGGAATTAATATGTTTTGTTGCGGGCCTCGTCTTAGCATTTCATGTGAACTCTATGTTGTCTGAGTTACACTTAAAAAGCAATGGAAACAAAAAAGCAACAAGGGAAAACAGCCAATCTGGAAGGCTGCCCTAAACAAGCAGCTTCTCTTATTTCAAGTGCAGAGAACAAAGGGGGAGGAAACCAGAGAAAGTGCCTCACATCCTGGGGACAAAGGACACAAAAGCATCTCTCAGGTTTCAGAATCAGTTTAATTCCTTAGGTCTGCCTTAATGTATTTTAACAGTATGAAGACTTCAGGGGGATTTAGCAGTCTGAAGACTGTAATTTGAAGTAACATTATATTCTATGTCGAATTTGGTACTCATCATCCTGCTCTGCGGCCGTGTCGGAGTCCCTCCTGCTCTGCTTAGCTTCGGGTTGAAAGCAGATGACAGCTCCCTCCTGTGAGGGGTACCATGTACTCACCATTTGCGAAAGGGCATCTTGAAGTCATGAGCCAGTAAATGTCCTGACACAGATGTCATCACCATAGTAACGTTCTGCAAGAGACAGAGCAAGGTAGTCAGTGCCCATCCTTTGCTAAAAGCTACCCCCAGGCCCAAGATCTTCCCTCAGTTCTCGATTTACACAGTCAGTGACACCTCCCTCCTGCTAATACAAAGCTCTTCTTTCTACTGACAGCCAAATCTATGGCCTTTTCCTCAATTCCTTTAGGAAGCTCTCAGTTTTCAACAGCAACATCTTTCTGACTGATATTAAACCAAACTGAAAGATGTAAAGCGATGACCCAGGTCAGTGCTTGAGCCAAAAAAAGAACATCTGACTTTTCCTCACCTTTAGACAAAATGACTCCATCACTGGATATGGTTTTGTAACTTCTAACAAATGGCTTTTAATAATTGGTATTTTGCATTTGTAGGAGCAGAATGAAGGGAAACTCTACCTGGCCAAACATCTGGTAGTCGTATTCGTAGATCTTGTTGAACTTGGATAACCCTTCTCGCTGGAAGGAAAAGGAAAAGGTCCTGAGTTTCTGGCTGCTGCAGGAAACCAAACTCATTCTGCTTCACTTTATACATGTGTTTATACATGCCAGAGCAGAGAGAAGTATGGGGAACGTGAAAACCAGGTACTGTACTTAATAGAAATTGCCTATACCATTTATAGAGAGACATAAATCATGCTTTTAAACATTAAGAGCACTTTAAACCATATGTAAGAGTATAGTAAACCATGCCTGAGGGGGTACCAGGGTTATCTCCCCATTGAGAGTGTCAACAGTAAAGAAGAAACTTATTTAATGGGGCTGGTCAGTTATACTCCTGACAAACAACTGTCCTGCTCTGGGTCCCCAAAATTATGTTCTGCCTGAGGCTCATGGAAGTTTCTAGATTGCATATTGCTGCTTTTTCTATGCAAGCAGAATGCCATCTTCCTTGATTTGCAGTGTCAGCACTCAGGCTCTCAGTAACACCTTTGATTCGAACTAATTCTAGTCTAGAAGCACCTTCTAGCTCTCAGCTTGGAAATACCAAGTGAGTACACACACTGCTAGTCACAAAACAAAGCAGCAGCACAGACCATCTTTGCTTTATTGTGTGCACTCCAGTGAACCCCTGACACTTGCTGAGGCTGCAGAAGTGGTGCTCTTTGACTGGGAAACGCAAGCCAGATGGTTTCAGTTCCTGAAGCCTTTCACACACACTGCAACTGGAGGAGGAGCACTGTGGAGCTCTGAGCCTGGAGAAGGCTGTCCAGACAGAGGAAGCACAGCTGGGGAGCCGAACCCCAACAGGAAAAAGGATCCAAGGCTCCCAAATACATTTGGGCAAAGTTATTCTTGTACTCGTGTATGGTCAGAAGCAGCCAGAACACAAAAGCAGTGTGAGATGTTGCCTGTGCTGATGGGAGCTGCCCATGCTCTGTTGGGGCTACCACACAAGATGCAGGCTGCGACGCTGATGCCAGCTAAGCCGGCCCCAGGTGCGAGGCCTGAGCTGTGGCACATCCCTACCCGCCGCATCCTGCTGTTGGAGAGCAGCTCCGCGATCCCCCGAGCAGCATCGTTCTTCTCGGCCACGCACAGCACCTTCCGGATCCTCTGCAGCGCCGCGTCCTCCGCAGCGCGGGAGAAGAGGCGCCAGGGCTGGGGCAGCATCCTGAGCCCGCCGCCGGCCAACAGCCTCGCCCGGGCCGTCATCACCGGGGACGGCGGGAGCTCGGCCGGGGCGCGGGCATCCTGCAGGCCCTGCCGGGGGTGCACAGCGAGCGCTGAGTCGCCATTCACGGGCCCGCCCCGCCTTTGACAGCCGGGAGGGGGCAAAGGCACCCTCATTGCTGGGGGAGGCTTCTCCCCGCTGTCAGAAGCAGCTCCCGGCGGGTCCTGCCCGCTCGCGGACCCCCGTACCCCGCCTCCTGCCCGCCCTATGCGGGTCAGGGCAGCCCCACACATCCCTAACCCTGTCCGGGCTCTCCTCAGGCCCCTCACTGCTGGAGGCGGCTTCTCCCCGCTACCGGGTCCCCGTACCCGCCCTCCGGGCCTCCCTCAGGCCGCGGCTGCCCCATACCCACCGCAACCGGGCCAGCGCACCCCCAGTACACCCCTAACCCCTCCGGTCTCCCCTCACCGGAGCAGCCCCCTCTGTTCCTCGCCCCCCCAGCTCTCTCCTCACGCACCTCCGCGCTCTGTCGCAAAAAGTGGCGGGACGCGGCGCGGTTGCCCTCGCTCTGCCGCAAAGCGCTAAAGGACTACAACTCCCATGATGCTCCTCGCCGCTCCGCTCCCGGTTGCCGTCCCGCTCCGGTTTACCGTTCCGCTCGCCGTTCCGCCCCTGTTTACCGTCCGCTCCCGGTTGAATTAACGCGAAAGGATGGCGGCGGCTTAAAAACAACGGTAAAGAGGGAAGGGGGAGGCGGCGGTGTCTCCTTCGCTTCCTGCTGTCGGGGTGAGAGGTGACGGCGTCATGTGATCCCAAGATGGCTGCGGGGCTGCGGCGTCCGTGAGGGCCGGCGGCGGAGCGGGGCCGGCGGGGCCCGGCCATGGCCGAGGCGTGAGGAGGCGGCGGGACAACAACGGGACACGTGGTGGGGCCCAGCGGTGGGACACGGGCTGCGGTGGGGCCTCCCGTAGGGCCCGGTGGCGGCGGGGGGGGACCGGACGGGGCCTCGCTGCTCCATGTCGGTCCCGTCCTAAGGGAAATATGATCAGCGCCCCCGATGTGGTGGCGTTCACCCGGGAGGAGGAGCTGGAGGATGAGCTGTACAGCGAGCCGCCGCTGCCCGAGGAGTACTCGGTGCCGCTGTTCCCCTTCGCCGGCCAGGGCGCCAACCCCTGGGCCAAGGTGGCCAACTCCAAGTTCAGCCGGGATTTCATCCTCATCTCCGAGTTCTCGGAGCAAGTGGGGCCTCAGCCCCTCCTGACCATCCCCGAGGATGCCAAAGTGTCGGGGACTTTCGATCTCAATTACTTCTCCCTGCGGATCATGTCTGTGGATTATCAGGCCTCCTTCGTGGGGCATCCTCCCGGCTCTGCGTACCCGAAGCTGAACTTCGTGGAGGATTCCAAAGTGGTGCTTGGGGACTCGAAGGAGGGAGCCTTTGCCTACGTGCACCACTTGACTCTCTATGACCTGGAAGCCAGGGGGTTCGTGAGGCCCTTCTGCATGGCGTATATTTCTGCTGATGAGCACAAAATCATGCAGCAGTTCCAGGAACTCTCTGCTGAGTTTTCCAAGGCCTCCGAATGCTTAAAGACAGGGAACCGGAAAGCTTTCGCTGATGAACTGGAAAAGAAGCTGAGAGATCTCGACTACACCAGGACCGTCCTGCACAACGAAACCGAGGTGCAGAAGAAAGCCAACGACAAAGGGTATTACACCACCCAAGCCATTGAGAAAGCCAACGAGCTGGCCAGTGTGGAGAAGTCCATCATCGAGCACCAGGACCTGCTGAAACAAATCAGGTCGTATCCCTACAGGAAGCTGAAGGAATCTGACTTCCACCCTTACGAGCCGGAGTGTGCGCTGCTGGATCAGGCCAACGCGGGCTGCGATCGGGACCCCACTACCTCCGACCCTGCTGAAACTCCCCTTTACACACATGTGCCGTCCTATACCCCCAAGCTTATCAAAGCCAAGTCTGCCAAATGCTTTGACAAGAAGCTGAAGACGCTGGAGGAGCTCTGTGATGTGTATTTTTTCACCCAAACCCTGGAGCAGTTGCACCAGATTGAGAGGACTTTCAGAGGGGATGTGTGCTACCTCCTGACAGAGCAGATCAGCAGGGCCCTGCTAAAGCAACAGACCATAACTAACTTCCTCTTTGAGGATACGTCTTGTCTGGATGAAAAACCACCTGGAAAACAATACAGAGGCTGCCAGGGGCACAGTCACGATGCTAGAGATGGAAAGTGTGCGGAAGAGTTCCCTGCTCCTACAGTGGTCATCAGCTTGGGAGCCTACAAGTCCAGCGTGGAGTGCGTGCCCATTAAGATGGAGCAGGAAACTGAGGACTCCCAGGAGCCCCAGATGAGCGAGTCTGTGACGTTTGAGCACCAGGAGAACCTGGATTACCTGGATGCAGACCTCAAAGGCAGCATCAGCAGCGGTGAGAGCATCGAGGTGCTGGGAACGGAGAAGTCTGCCTCTGGCTTGCCCAAGTCGGAGAGTCAGGCCAGCCTGCCCGTCAGCCCCAGCCCTCAGGTGGCCAGGAGCAAGGTGGGCAGCAGGAGGACCGTCAGCGAGGACAGCATCGAGGTCCTCAGCATGTGTCCTTCCGAGTCGCTCATCCCGGAGGATTTCAAAGCGAGTTACCCAAGTGCCATTAACGAGGAGCCCTATGTGGGGGATGAAGAGGGAGGCCTCCGCTTCACCCCCAGGCTGAACCTGGATGACGCTGACGAGCAGGAAGATGTTTCACAGCAGGAGAACTTGGTGCAGGTGGATTCTGCTTGTTGTATCGGGAAGGAGAGCCCCAACTTCCTGGAGCCTCTGCCTGACCTGGGCCACAAGCCCTGCGATGAGGATGGAGTGGTCCGGATCCCGCCGCAGCCGTACCGGGCATCCGAGCCGGGGCTGCATGGGAGCTTCCCCTCCCACGATTGCATCTCAGGGGGGCTCCTGCCCTACGAGCTTGACTCTCGCTACATGGCAGGCAGCAGGGAGGTCAGTAAGAGCAGCCTGGATGAGTGCTCGGACTCCACGAGCTATATGAGCAGCGCTGCCTCCACGTGCTCCGACAGGACCCCCTCTCCAGCTCACCCTGCCTGCCAGGGGGCTGACAGGCACAAGAAGAAGGCTGGGCAGAACGCACTGAGGTTCATCAGGCAATACCCCTTTGCCCACCCTGCCATCTACTCCCTGCTCAGCGGCAGGACCCTCATCGTGCTGGGGGAGGAGGAAGCCATAGTCAAGAAGCTCGTGACGGCGCTCTCCATCTTCGTGCCCACCTGCGGCCTTTATGCCAAGCCTGTGAAGCACTGGGTCACCTCCCCTCTGCACGTCGTGGATTTCCAGAAGTGGAAGCTGATCGGGCTCCAGAGGTAAATCCGGGCTCTGTTTGCTGTGTCACGTTGGGTGGGTTTAATGCAAACATCATCTCCTAAGTGGGAATTTCAGGGGGGGAAATTCGTGTGCCCCCAAAGGTCGCTGCCAGCGCCATGAATTTCTGCTTGCGGGATGTATTTTGAAGGGGGATTTGTCTCTTTCCATCCAGCCTCACTTAAGCATTGATATTTAGAACATCTGTGTGCATTTTGGCTCATGCTAGTGTCTTGGCCAGGAGGTTTCCCTCTAGTTTAGGTCTTAGCCTGGCAAAGCAGAGAACAAACATGAGTCCTGCTGGTTTCCAGGAGGATCTAAGAGTGCTCCTGGAGTTCCTTGTGTGCTCTGTTCCTGCTGAAACTCCTGACATTTCTAGCTGGAATTTAGGGGTTTAAGTGGATGCTTTGATACAAGGAGGGTTTTTCCTTGTGCACCCTAATGAAGGGATGGGGTGCAGTAGGTCAGAAATCGGACCTTGGGCAGTGTTGGTGAGGGTGTGCAGCTGGGTGTCATGGGTTAGGGTGGAGGTGTGGGAGCCCTTTGGGGAGTGCAGATGGACAAAGGCTTATTTATAACAAGCTTTAGTGCAGGAAAATAGCTCCGGGGAGCTGTGGTGTTGGGATTGCAGGTCAGATGCAAAGTGAACCTCTGCTCAGGGTGAAGACCATCACCCCTTCCCCACCATCCAGACCTCAAATGTGGCTTCGTGGTTTATATCAACAAACAGCAGTTGCTCAGCTCTCAAGATTTCATCCCTGCCTTCGTTAGGAAAAGGGTTTTCTTTGTGTGTGTTACCAGGATGTGTTTGGTGCTGCGGGTGCGTGACAGGGAATGGCCACTGCCGTCACAGCATGAGTCAAAGCGGCAGCCCCATTGCCCAGAGCCTCCTGAAAGCCTGTTTCTGAGCAGTGTGAAAACCAAACCATAGAGAAGGCTCTGGGCTGCTGAGAATTGAGCTGCTGGGGGTTGTGGGGGATGAAATGAACTCAAGCTGGGAGTTTCCCCTCATGTCTGTGCTGGGGAGGCAGGATGACAGCTCCGGAACCAGCACTCCCCAACTTCCCTGTCTGTCGGTGAGGTTTTTTAAAGCCCCAAGTGTTCCCTCCTTGCTCAGTGTTTGTGGTTAATTGCAATTTCTATAAACTAAAGGCATTCTTATTTTGGAGCACTGCTTGTTACGTGTGTCAGTCATTTCAAGGCTCCTCATGGAATGCTAATGACCTGTTGAATTTAATGATGTTTTGCTCTCAGCAAACCATTTGGACCAGGGCTTTGGGGAGGCTGGATTCATTCCTCTGGTTCAGGACACTGTGTCTCGAAGGCCAGACAGTGCCTGGGCACAGGAGCAGCCCTGACACCACGAGCTGGGGCTCCTGTTTGGAGGCTGGGAGCTGTCTCTCAAGCGCGAGCGACTTTACCCACGCAGAACTGAGGAACAGAAGGCAGAGCTGGTGTAGGCTTGTCATTTGCATTTAAATAACATACATTTGGGCTCGTTGGGTAATTGCACGTTGTGAACAGTGCTGGGGGTTGGCACCTGAATGAGAAATGGCCAGGCTCAGCCAGGGAATGTTCTGGTTTAAGGATGGTTCCCTTTGGAAAGGAGGAAGGTTTTGCTGCACTCAGGGCTTTGACCACCTCAGAGCAGCTCCCTCCCATAACAGTGATATGGGGCGGGGGGGGGGGGGGGAGTAAAGCTCCTGTCAAGGATGGGGGGCAGGTTTGGGGTTTGGATGCTGCTTGTCACATCCAGAAGGAAGATTTGCTTCCGCTCACCAGAGGTGTCCTATTGCTCCCACTCCTGCCACCGAGGGAGGAAGCTGCCCCATGATGCGGTGGTTCATGAAGCAGCACATGGACAATGTGGATGAGGGCACGTAGGGATCTATGGATTGAGGTTCCTTTGGGATCTGGCAAGTTGGAGAGATGGTTTGGCTGGTCTTTTCCCTGCTAGCCTCTGTTTCCTCGCGGAGGCTCGTGCACCATGTCGTGAGCTAAGGGAAAGTCAGTGCAGTAGAGGGGCACGGACACAACCTGCCGCTTACCTGCGGGGTCCCCTCCAGCCGTGACCTCTCTCTTTGCTGTTCCAGGACGGTGTCTCCTGCCGGGGTGAACGTGCTGCACGCCCTGAGCCGCTACAGCCGCTACATCAGCATCCTGGATGCTGACAGCAAGACTCTGCGCTGCCCTCTGTACAAAGGCTCCGTGGTGTCCCGGCTGGCGGATCACCGCACGCAGATCAAGCGAGGAAGCACCTACTACATGCACGTCCAAAGCATCCTCACCCAGCTGTGCTCAAAAGCCTTCCTCTTCACCTTCTGCCACCATTTGCACCTTCCCATCAGCGAAAGGGAACCCGAAGAATCCATCGTGAGTCGCAGGATGAACTTTCTGAAGCTTCAACTGGGCCTGGTCAATGAAGACATCAAGATCGTGCAGTACCTGGCAGAGCTGCTGAAGCTGCAGTACCTTCAGGAGCCCGGGCAGGGGCTGAGCCCTCTGCTCCGCTTTGACTACGTGCCCAGCTTTTTGTACAAGATCTAGCCTCCTGGGGGCTGTCTGCACTGGGGTCTGACAGAGCTCATCCCTGCTTCACATCGCTGTCTGCGGTAGCTCTCATCCATCAGGAAGGGGTGAAGAAGCTGACGTGTTTGTGAGCGTCTCTGCTCCACAGAAATCCATGTCTCAGGGACTGGATTTCTGTTCCCTATAGCCAAGAACGTAGATGTTCCATCACCTAAACCACCGGGCACTCTGTAAATGTTAGAAGGGGCACTGTTAACTTTTCATGGCAGCATCCCAGGGGGAATAGGGCATGGAGAGAGGTGGGCTGTGTCGGGGATCAATACTAGTGCACAGCCCTCAAAACACCAGTGCTCTGTATGCTTCTGCCAGATCCCTAAATGCTCTTGGTCCCTTCCATGGAGCCAGGATGGAGACGTGAAGGTTTTAATCCACTAGTGTCTCATGTGAGCATAGCTCAGAAGCTCCCTGGCAAGGTGGCAGCTTGCAGTTACCCATCCTTGCTGTGTTTATCCAAGTTCCCTGGTGCTTCCTGGGACAGGTTGTCCCTGGGTGGGTGGGAGCACAGTGGATGCACATGTGCTTCCCTTCAGAAAGTGTTTTGCAGTTTCTCTCAGCCTTGTTAAGATCCAGAACGTGGAAGGCTTCACCTGCTGCCATGAATGTAGAGCACTGTGCCTTGTAACTTGTCATGTCCTGTTTGCACCTCTGAGAAGGGTGGGAAAGAGCTGGGAATCATCAGAGCACATGAGGTTGAGGGAGGCCTTTTAAGTAGAGAGAAAGGGGCTGAAATGAGTTGGGGAGAGCCTCGTTTTCAGGTGCTTTCTGTGATGGGGGGGATGGAACAGTGCAATGAAGTGATGCTGTGAGGCAGCAGGCTGGTAGAGCAACTGCCTGGCTGGCTCAGGAGAGATCAGGGACGGATGTACCAGGTATCTGTAATAGCTTATTTTGCTTGGGTTTATTTCTGGCATGGAGTTGACTTCTGTGCGGTGTGGCGCAGCAGGGTCAGTGTCACCGCATGCTGCTTCTGGCCTTTGTCCTGTCTCCTAGGGCGCTCCTGGGTAGCTCTGGATGGGGCAGGACTGTTCTCTGAGCCTGGATGCTGAGGGCTTTTCCTTTCAAAGCTTCTGTGCTGCTGCCTGTGCCATTAAGGTTGTGCCACTGGCGTGGTGAGAGCCCCACATTGTTCCTGTCAGTGCTGGGGGCACAGCGCTTCCATATGGAGTCTCGGAGGAGATGCTGCTCCTTGGCCACTCATACCAGGCTGTGGTCTGCTCTACCCAGTGCTGTGTGGCCAGAGCAGCCCCTGTGGTACTCCTCAGCAAGAAAATCCTTGCTAGGAAGGTAGCCTTGGTTTTATTTGTGTTTTAGCACTGATTATGGGGGGAGAAGAGCTGCGATGGTACAAAATGAGCTGATGTTGTTTGCTTTGGGTTTATCTCTTGCTTTAAACCTCTGTTTCTGGTGATGCTGTGAGGCAGTGCTGGAGGTAAAGGTGATGTCCCTTCCGAGCCCAGGGAAGGTTCTGCGTACAGACGTGTCTCAGACCCGCTGATACTGCTGGGAGAACCACATTGCCCCAAAACCAGTGTCCTAAAGGCAAGGAGGCTCTTTGGGCACCAGCGTCTGCAGCTCAGCACCGCTGCTGCCTCTCTCTTCTTTACATTCAAGGCTGTTTTAAACGTCAGTGTTGTTTCTGGTGGTGCACAGCGAGGTTGTGGTATACTCTCCAGAGGGATTTCCAAGGTCAGGGATTGCGGGTTGAGGTCACAGAGGGGAAGCAGCGTGGCTGAAGGTGAGCAGAGTGCTTGTGGCAGGGCTGACTGCCTTTAAAGCACTTTTAAAGGCCTCTTCCTTTCTGGATTGTGCCCTTGTGTCGTGTGTGAGCTGGGCCTGCTGTGAAAGACTTCCGTGTCCATCAAAAAGGTGATTTGAGGTGTCCCCTGCTCCGTTTGTGTGCACCCAAACGGCTTCCACACCGAAGCTGAGGCGAGATTCCCCAGGGAAAGAGGCATCTTGGTGAATGAGTAATGCAGGTGACACGAGGGAGTCAAAAGCTCCTGCATCCCTCCTGGAATGTGGCTCTGGAGGAGGGCTCAGTGTGGGAGCTGCTTTCCTGCTGACTCACTGCTGTCTCCCTCCAGGCTGATGGGTGAGCTCTTGCTCACAGTGGTCTCGACCTCTGGTGTTCAGCTGCACTCATAATGGATAAAGAACTCATTGCTCTCTCTATCAAAGCTGATGTTCAAGACCAGTGTTGAGCAATACTTGCACCACCGCCTGCCTGACCTGCTTCATCTCCGTGCCATATCTCTGGTTGGGGAGGATGCCCTGGGTACCTGTGTCATAACAGGAGCTCTGCACTATCTGCAGCTCTGCTCTCAAGCAGGAGCTGTGGGGAAACACCTCTTGGGGTGTTTGGTCTCCTCAGTCTGGTTTACAGCAGCAACATGGGCTCTGGGAAAGGGGGAATTGCGTGGGGCTGTGGCAGCTTAGTGCAGCCAGAGCCTTGCTGCTCGTGGTGCCTCAATGGCAGCAGGAATTGGGGGAAGTCCGAGTGCTTTGGGTGGTTTGAGAGCTCAGTTCCTCTTCACTCAGTAATTTCTCTGTCTGACCCTTGCTCCCGTACAGAGCAGATCCCTGTACTGGCACTTTAAGACATTTCCCTCATCTTCACTGTGGTACCTCACTAGTTTCCGATAGAAACAGACTTCCACTCCTCGCACTGACAGCTCCCGCAGGGAATCTTGGCCTGTGTGTGTGCAGCTTCCTCCCGGTGCAATACTGCCCATCCCTCCCTCAGCTCTGCATGGCCCTCGCTGCTTCCCTGCGTGCTGCCAGCATGTTCCCATCTCCCGCATGGCAGCTCCGGCTTCCTCCTCTCGCTGCTGGCTGTCAGGGAGGGGAGGTGTTGAGCCTGATGGAGCTCCCCTGTTCTATCCCCTCTGCCTGGGAGGCTCCTGTTCTTCCCCTGCTCTGCTCTAGCTCAGAGCTGCCTGCAGATCCCATCCCGAGGAGGGTCAGCCATAGGAGTAGGCAATCTCAACCCTACACAGCACTCACTCCTCAGAGAACAGTGCTGGGATTTACTTCCATCCGGTAGCAATTACTTCTGAGCAGCTCCTAAAAGCTGCCTTGCCTTGACAAGGGGAAGTACTGCCTATATTCTAGCAATATTCACCACATTGTACAGGGTGGGAGTGGTGTTTGAGGGTGGCAGTTGGTGGTTCCATGTGCCCAGGCCAGTTGTTTGGGTTCTGTTGAGCATGGGGGGTCCGGAGCCCCCATTCTGATGGTGGGTGACAGCCCACGTGGTAGACTTGATGTCTGGCATTACAAAGGCTCCTGGATTAAGATGTGATGGGGAAGTCAAAGCTGCTGAGGGGGAGAGTGCCCCAGGAACACAATGGTTGAGGAGCACAATGTACCCCATAACAGAGGGGTCCCTGGGATGTGTTTTAACTGGAAGGCAGAAACAGGGTACCCGGTCCCACCGGCGCCTTGGTGCCAGCACAGGGATGGGGCCGGGCTCAGAGCCGCCTCTGAGGGCTTGCGAGGAGGCTGTGCTGAATCCTCTCATCTCATTTGAAAGCACTGTATCCTATTCCTGCATGTGGAGTTCAGTGTGCGCGCGTGTGCCTGTGCGTGCTGAGTGCTTGTGGCCATAGTTGGAGCGAGTGCGAGCGGGAGGAATCCAAGCAGCACGTGTCAGTGTCGTGGCTGTAAGGGTGTTAAACCCCGGGGTTTAACAAGATGTCGACACCAAATGAAGGCGTCTGAAAAATGTACTTTTAAGGTTAAAAAAAAAAAAAAAAAAGAAAAATTATTTATTTGGGTTCAGATATTTTTGAAATACAAAAGAAAAAAGCAAACGCAACAAAGGAATCGCCTGTGGTTTTTAAAGCTTCTACTCCTGGTCCTAGGTTGTGGGTCCATTCCTCGTTTGAGCGTGCTCATTAAAACGTGGTTCTAACCTCAACTTTGTGCTCGGAGAACTCAGAAGATCCCAGAGACGCGGGATAGGATGGGATGGTGATCCCAGGAAGGCTCCTTGGGGACAAGACCTTGGCCTTGTCCAAGCCTGTGGAGGCTGGAAGGTACAAATGGAGAGCAGGGAATCCTCGAGGCTGAAAGCAGGGGGGCTTTTAGCAGCACTGTCAAGGCTCTTGTGCAGCTGAGCACTGCACATGTGGCTGCAGGGGGGTGGCTTCCATACAGGTGGCCCCCGTGTCCCTCCTGCATGTGTCCTCATCTACTGCTCCATGGCCATGAGAGCTGGATCAGACCTGACCATGGGGCAGAACGTGCTTGGTCCTTATTGTAACACTGAGTGGTGAAGGGGCTGGTGCCCCCCGCGGGGGTCCTGTGCCCCAAACGAGGAGCTGCTGCTGCTGCACCACAGTCGGTGCCAGCGGGGAGGTAGGTGCTGGGAGGAGGCACCGGGGTGTGTTGGTCTCTGTGCTGCATTCCCGGGTACTTCCGTGGCTCCAGGAGCGGGGAGGGTGCATTCCCTTTACAGGACCGGCAGCCCCGGGAGTGGGAAGGTCCCTGCGAAGGCCTCCACCTCCTCCTTCAGCGCCTTCAGCTCCTTCCGGTATTTCTCCTCCTCCAGTTTCTCCTTGAATTCCTTCAGCGTGGCCTTAGGGCTCATGTCCTTCTGCACCCGCAGCGTCAGCTCGATCCCTGCCGGGGGGAAAGATGTGATGCTCGGTGCTGTGCACCCCACTGCAGGGCTGGGGCTGCTCCCCAGAACACAGGGGAGGGAAGGGGTCGGGATGGGAGGGAAGGAGGAGGATTGGGAGGGACTCTGCCCTGGGAAACCAGCATGGGACCCCTGAGGACAAACGGAACCAAAAGGTGCATGCTTTCAGCCCAGTGCTGTGCAATAAGGGAGGGTTTGGCCGGTCCCAGCTGTGGCCAGATGTGCTCTCCCACATCCAGATGTGCAAGTGGGACAATTACTCTTCACTTCTGTGTGTGCTCTTTTGCTGGAGAAGCCTGAGCTTGCCTCAGGTGGTGCCTCCTCACCCAGAGGGGCTGCCCTGCGTTGATGCTTGGAGCTGCGAGCCTGCCCCAGCCTCACCTCTGTGGATGTACTGAGCCACCATGCGCAAATCATCCTGCTGGAAGCCACGGGAGGTGAGAGCTGGTGTCCCAAACCTCAGACCGCTGGGGCGCAGGGCACTGACATCACCTGCACCACAACAAGCCAAGTGTGACCAAACCCGGTACCAAACCCATCACACGCAAGGGGTTCAGCCTGGTTCCCAGCAGCCAGGGTGGACCTGGAGCTGGGATCCCTGCACAGCCCACAGGAGATCCCCAGCAGGTGAGGCAGGGGAAGGCAGAGCTTGTGGGATCCCTCACCAGGGCACGTGTTCTTGTTGCAGGCGATGGAGCAGAGCTCCAGCACCCTCTCAGCCCGGCTGCCATCCGTGCCTTTGCTGCGCAGGTCCACAAGGATCAGGTGGTTGTCGGTGCCCCCTGCAAAGAGAGGGGATGGTGGGGATGTGGGATCGGGGTAGGCTCTGCTCCCATGGGAAACTTCAGCAAAGAAAGACTTGGGATTCCATCGGGCCCCTGGTTCTGGGGGCAGAAGGAAGCTCAGCCCTATCCCACCACTGAGACCCATCCTCACCAGTGACGATGTTGTAGCCCAGCTCTGTCAGCGCTGTGGAGAGCACCTTGCAGTTCACCACCACTTGCTGCTGGTAGGCTTTGAACTCGGGTGTCATGGCCTGCTGCAGCGCCACAGCCACCCCTGGAGGAAGGCAGAGCAGGGTGAGTTTTGGTGCATCCCACTGGGAGAGCTGATAGGAATGTGTGGCACTGCCAGCAGAAGTCATCATGGAAGCTGAGCAAACAGGGACAGTCCCTTTCCCTAGGCAGGCTGGTGTCATTGCCATGAACACCACACCAGGGGTCAGAGCCCAGCCAAGGGCATCCTTGCCAACTCCCTTTGCCACCCAAGAGCTGGTGGCCAGCCTGGATGCATACCTGCAATGGCGTGGTTGTGGGGGCCTCCCTGCAGCCCAGGGAACACTGCCTGGTTGATGAGGCTCTCCAGGTTGTAGAGCACTTCCTTGCCTGTCTTGGGGTCCACGCTGCGGGTGCCTGCAGGAGGGGAGGGCAAGGTCACTCAGGAGGCAAGCATGGTGGTGGTTCCTCCTCAAATCTGGGCCACTCTTGGCCCTGGGAAGCTCTGCAGATGCTCCCAGACCTTCCTGCCCCCCTTCCTTCCCAGCTAGAGCAGGAATAGCTTTAACTTGCAGCCCCCCCCCAGCCTGCGGGGAGCATTTCTCCCTGCTCCTCAGCCAGGTCAGGCACCTTTGCGGTAGAAGATCATGCCGGACCTGCAGCCCCGCAGGGTCTTGTGCGTGGTGGTGGAGACGATGTCGCAGTAGTCGAAGGGAGAGGGCACCACACCTGCAGCCACGAGCCCGCTGATGTGGGCCATGTCGGCCATGAGGTAGGCGCTGTTGGCGTCAGCGATCTTCCGCATGCGGGCATAGTCCAGGTTGCGTGAGTAGCAGCTCATACCTGCAGGGAGATGGGATGGGATGTGGATGGGAGGACAGCCATGGGTCCAGGCCTACAATGGGGACAGTCAAGCGGGGGACACACATAAGCTCCTGCCAGCATGCTGCCAGGGTTTGATCCTTACCTGCTATGATCAGCTTGGGGTGGAAGAGCTGGGCGTTTGCTTCCAGCTGGTCATAGTCGATGTAACCGGTCTTGGGGTTGACCTGGGAGAGGAAGAGGAGGGTTCAGTCGCCTTGGTATGGGTGAAGATCAAGTGTAGCACCATAATAAAGAAGGGGGTGCTGGGAGAATGACACTTTCAACGCTAAGAGGCACCAACGCTTATGACAGGAGCACCCTGGAGCATCTCTCTGTACCTTATAGGGCATGGACTCGAAAAAGATCGAGGTGGCAGAGATCTTCTTCTTTTCTGTCATGAACCCATGGGTGAGATGGCCTCCATCAGGCAGGTCCAGCCCCATGATCCTGCCGTGGGGCTCCACCAGGGCTGTATACACCGCAAAGTTTGCGGGTGACCCTGCAGCAAGAGTACACCAGGACAGACAGGTATGAGTGCTGGGGCATGCAGAGGTCAGTGCAACTGGGCTGGCTCTCCTAAGCACCCCATTACCTGAGTAGGGCTGGACATTGACCCCCCACTTCTGGGGGTCGAGCCGGTATGCCTGCAGGGCTCGCTTCTGGCACAGCCTTTCCAGCTCATCTATGAACTCTGTCCCACCATAGTACCTGACAGGGAAGCATTGAACAGGGGTTAAAACCAAACCCATGACTCAGACCCATCCCAGTGATCAAGCTGGGAAGAAACTGGGATGTTGCTGCACTTGTGGCAGCCACTGGGAGAGCAGCTGCAGCAGATGTGATCCTGCTGAGACTGTCCTACATGTGGCCAAGGACAGAAGCCAAGAGGGTCAGAATGTCCCAGAGGTGAGGCCTGGTGGTTCCTCTCCCTCCCTGCAAGGGTTGGGTTTGAGTTGGGTTGGGGTCAGTTACCTCTGTCCTGGGTACCCCTCGGAGTATTTGTTGTTCAGGCAGGATCCCAGGGCCTCCAGGACCGCTCGGCTCGCAAAGTTCTCTGATGCAATTAATTCCAGCCCAAGCCTCTGCCGCTGCTTCTCCTTCTTGATGATGTTGTGCACCTTTGGGAGAGGAGAGAAACAGCTTTACCCATGCTGGCTCTGCCACAGGGAATGGAGAAAGGCTTGGAAAGGTGCTGCAGAAGGGAGATGAGATCCCTTCTTCGTACAGCTGATCATCCTGGTTTGGGTTTCTACCTGCCAGATAATTCAGCTGTCATTTGGGCTTGAGATCCATGAGCAACAGCCACATGGCCTGGCTACTCTGGTGTGGACATCAGAGCTTCAAGGAGAGGGGCATGCGCCATAGATGTGAAGTTATGACCATACAGATGGATGGAGGATGTCCTCCCTCTCGCCTCCATGCAAAGAGGGCTTGGAAGATGAATGGGTCCCCCCAGCTCAGCCTTGGGCTGTCTCCTTGCCTCATCCCTGGCTCGAGGAGGTCAGCATGAACAAAGCAGCTGCTGGGCAGAGGCCAGGAAGGGGCTCTCACCTCTGGGTCATTGGTTTCAAGTGGCTCCATCACCATGTTCCTATGGGAGGCCCAGAGCGCAGCGCTGGGGAGGCCCCCGTCACCCTGTGTTGAGTTTGCCATTCTCCTGCTGGGTCCAAGGTCACCTGCCAGTGGAGAGGAGAGTTTGTGGGGGCTTCCACACCACAATCCTACATGCAGCCTGCTCCCATCCCATATCTTCCCTGGAAAAAGCGGCTTCCTTGCTAATCTAAGACCAATCCATTAATCACAGTGCTTAATATCTGATTCCCTCCCATCACTGCCTCACCTGGGCTCCCCCCTCCCAGCTCTACAGTGCGTGATTAAACAACGCAGGCTGTGTAATTTGAAAGGCAGCGAGGTGCTCATACCCACAGACCTCAGTTTTCATGCATAGTGCATCCCCCCCAGCATGGTTAAACCTCTCTGCTGCTTTCCCTTGTGCACAGCCAGGAGGGCAAATCTCCAACAGGTCTGAGTCCTGCCCCAAACCCTAACTGAAGCGAGCATGGCTGGAACTGCACCCTGGGAGGCAGCAGCTCTGGCTTCATAGCTCATGTAATGCCCAGGCCTGGCAGCAGCTCTCTGGCCCCATCAGTGCGACCACTGCTCCTGGGCAGACATGACAGCCCCCTTACTGCCTTGGCTGAGAACAATGCCTCCTTTTACCCATTAACCATGGGAGGCCAGCAAAGGGCCGTGAGCAGGTTGTTAAGCAACCACACTTAGTTTGCTCATGCCAAGCTGCTAAAGTCTATTCAGCGCAGGGCTGCTGTGCACTGGCTTCGCTGGACTGCGGTGCTCGGCTGCTCTCCTACCTGAGTCTGGGGCCTCACTGGCAGGGTGGGAATTCCCACATTCAGAAACGCTTGGGCTGGGCACAGTGCTCTGGGTGGGAGCAGCACGGCTGGGTCCAGCACGTCCCCCCCAGCACGGGTCACTGCAGGGTTTGCACCCAGCGCCTTCGGCGAACCTGCAGAAAGCTCAGGGTAAACAAAGCTCCCCATTCCCTAGCCAGGAAAAGCCCCCATTTCCACCCTCTTATTGGGACACCGGTTTAACCCCGGCAGTGATGAACCCCAGCCCTGAGGCTCCATCTCCGCCTGGCTCTGTGCCCCCCCGATCCCGGCTCCATCACCTCCCGCACCCCCCGTATTGACAGCGGTGGTTGAAGACAGCGCTGCCCGCCCGGCTCTCCCTCTCCCTGCCCGCCCCGCACGCCTCCTACCCGCCCGCAGCGCTGCGCCGAAGCCCGGTCCCGCTCGGCGGCGCCTAGCATACCCCGCTCGGACACGCCCCTGCGCGCATCGGCCAATCAGCGTCTCGCTCCGCCCCGCTAGCCCGGTGGCGGGACACACCCTCCAGGTATCTAGACCAATCAGCGCCGCGCTCTTCCCCTTTCCCCCGTCCTATTGGCCCGCGCCGAGGCGGAGCTGGCGGCGTTACCAGCACGCGGTCGGTGGGGTGCGGGTGACCTTGGCCGTGGCAGGGGCTCTGCTGGCACCCCATTGCTGGCACCCCACTGCTGCCATTGTCCACTGCTGCCGTCACCCCACTGCTGCCGTCACCCCACTGCTGCCGTCACCCCCCCGTTGGCACCCCACTGCTGCCATTGTCCCACTGCTGCCGTCACCCCACCGCTGGCACCGCACCGCTGGCACCCCACTGCTGCCGTCACCCCATGCTGCTGTCATCCTGTAGGTCCAGCCCTGCTGTGCACCCCAGAGGGCCCCCCACCAGCCCTAGGGTGTTTCCAGTGATCTGGGGGTGCCTCTTGCCTCCCCCATGAACTGGAGGATGGGGCTCCACCACCCTGCCCTCGAGGGCCTGGCCATGCTGCTGGCCAAAGCCCTGTGTGTGCTATGCCAGGCCATAGCATGGGTCAGCCACTGCTGTGAGGAGCAGAGCTTGTTCCTGGTGGGCATCCTGGTGCCCCGGAGGAAGGAAGCAGCCCTGGGGGGATGTGTGGTGCAGGCAGGAGAGGTGCTGTGTGTTCTCTGAGCATCAAATCCGAGGGAGTGGATGGGCTCAGGCAAGCTGTGGCTGCAGGGATTCAGGGGTTAAATCAATGCAACCAAAATTGAGGAACAAGATTAGGGAATAAGTGATCCTACTAAATTCCTCGTGATCCCAAGCCATGGCAAAATGGGATGAGGCAGCATGAGTCACTCTGCAGAGGAGCACTGTCTCAGTGGGGAGGCAGCCAGGAGGTGAGAGCAGTGGGCAGAGTGGTGACGGAGCGGTGAGAGCTGCCCCTGGGAGCTGCAGAGGTGGGTATGGGAGTGAGGGGAATGGTGGGTGCACTGGGAGCGTGGTGTGAGGGGCTGATGGTGACACCAGAACTCACCTTTAGGGTCATCCTGCTGTTGGAGTGCACCTCCCTGGAAGGTACTTGCTGAAGGAACAATCTTTTGACTCAATCTTTCTCAGTCTTGACGGGTTTTGCTATCTGAATTTGTTAGTGGGCATCTAAAGAAGATGCATTAGAGCAGCAGGGTTTGGGGTTCCCACACTGGCCCGTGTCAGATTGCTGCTGCAGGCTGATTTACTGGCACACGGTGCCCAGAGAAGCTGTGGCTGCCCCATCCCTGACAGTCTTCAAGGCCAGGTTGGACACAGGGGCTTGGAGCAACCTGCTCTGGTGGAAGGTGTCCCTGCCCAATCCAACCCACTCTGATTCTATGACTATGGAGGTGTTGTTCTCACAGTGCCAATGCCAGTAACAAAACCTGGGTTGTTTTCTCTGGTCACAGTGATTTCTGTGATGTGCAGAAGTTACAGAGAAGGATTTATATTAATTATACACAACTGGTTTTGCACACACATTTTGTGTGCAGTTACTAGTGACGATTTTCACCTCTCTGGAACCGTAGGAGCTGCAGATAAGGGCCATGTGTGCTGTTGTGATTTCAGGACTGCTTGCTCATGATGGACAGCGTCTCTTCTTCCCCTCCACTCTTCTCTGCCAGTTTCCCCACTGACCAGCCTGAGAACACCACTGCCTATGATGAGTACTCCAGCCTCCAGAAGAGCATGCATGTCCTCTCCATGGTGGTGTACAGCATCGCCTGTTTGCTGGGGGTGACAGGCAACGGCCTTGTCATCTGGATCACAGGCTTCAAGATGAAGAAGACGGTGAACTCAGTCTGGTTCCTCAACCTGGCCATTGCAGACTTCATCTTCACCTTTTTCCTGCCCCTCAGCATCGCCTACACCGCCCTGGGCTTCCATTGGCCGTTTGGGAAGCTCCTGTGCAAGCTGAACAGCACCATCGCCTTCCTCAACATGTTTGCCAGCGTCTTCCTCCTGACAGTCATCAGCATGGACCGCTGCGTTTCTGTAGCCTTTCCTGTCTGGTCTCACAACCGCCGGAGCCCGGAGCTGGCAGCCAGGATCGCGGTGGGGACGTGGGTCCTGGCGCTGCTCCTCAGCTCCCCGTACCTCGTCTTTCGGGACACTGCACTCAGTTCCAGGAACAGCACCAGCTGCTACAATAATTTTGCCCTGTCCGATGACTACTCATCCGAGGCAACACGGAGGCTGTGGAGGATAAGGCATAAAGCCATGATCATAACACGATTCTTATGCGGGTTCCTCATCCCTTTCATGGTGATCCTCATCTGCTACAGCATCGTTGCCATCAAGCTGAAGAGGCGGCAGTTAGCCAGCTCTGCGAAGCCATACAGAATCATCATCGCTGTCACAGTCTCATTCTTCCTCTGTTATTTCCCCTATCATGTCTTCTCCTTGCTGGAAATATCCAAAAACTCTTCCAGTCCTGAGATGAAAATGGCCCTTTACATCGGGATCCCCTTGGTTTCCAGTCTCGCTTTCTTCAACAGCTGCATCAACCCCATCCTGTACGTATTTGTGGGGCCGGATTTCAAGGAGAAGTTCTGCCAGTCCATCCTGTCGACCTTTGAAGGGGCCTTCAGTGAGGAGTCGGTCCTGGGCAGCCTCACCAGCCGGAGGAAGTCCAGGTCTGCTTCTGAAGTGGAGGTCCCGAGGGTCTGAGCGGGTGCTGGTGTGGAGGGGGCAGTTCTTTCTCTGCACTGTCACCTCGTTTCAGAGCTACAACCACAGGACTGGGGGCTGCAAAAGACTGTGCTGGCTAACGAAGTGTGATCCGGTGTTTTGGGGGTACATCAAGCATACTATGACTTAGTACACTATGGAAAGGAAACAACTCTGTGGAGCTGCAGCAGTGTGTGTCAAAGTAGTAGCATTTTACTCCCTTTGCCACTTCCTTGGGGACAAATCTTGTTAGCATCTCTGCTGGGTTCACCTGCAGCCTGCGGCACATTTGCATATGGCAAACCACAGGGAGATTTTCTTCCTTGCCTTTACCAGACTTTCCTGGCAGCTCATCTTCACTGGGGTTCCACCAGATGGGAAATCAGCTGCAGCTGCATGTGGCTGCACTGGAGATGTATGGCTGCACCAGCATTTCATCTGTCCAGAGGAGAAAAGGAGGGAGGGGAGAGCTATTTCATAAGTCCCTGGTAATTAAACTCATCTTTTCTCTCCTCAGATATGAGGTTGAAGTATTTGTTGTGCTCCAGTTACTCAGGTTCGAAGTACAGTGGAACTGTTTCTGAGCAATGCTTGGCTGTGTTCGCGTTTGACGTGTTTCTGGCCCTTAAATAGCAGAGATCTGACATTTTGTACTGGTGGTGAATGAATATTAAATCCCAATAAACTTAGGTAAAACATACTCAGCCTCTTGTGTTGTGATAAAGGACTTGATCCAACCTGACTGAACACACTCGTCTTCAGTAACAGAACAACTAGATAAAAAGATTAACTACCCAGAATTTGGAAACAAACCACTGGCAATAGCAGCAAAACCCATGACTGAAGCAGACAGGACTCGACCTGGGTGTGAAGACTTGGGGCACCCTGTCCTTGTGGACCTGATTGCCAGACCATGGTTATGGCTTATCACTGAGTTTCAAGGCTTTTGGTACATTTGAAAAGCAGTGGTTTGAAGGAGGAAGAAGAGCTGAGCTGGGTCTGGTCAAGGTCCACATTTGCAGACTGCTCAGGGTAAGATGGTGGGTGAGTGGGTGGGTTTGGGGGGGTGGTTCTTCCCAGGCTTGATCAAGCTCTGAAACTCTGTTTTTTTTTAAGTAGAAAATGATGGTCATGTAAAAGGGAGTGATGGCTGGAAAACCCTCTGGCTCCCAGCCTAAAGAGATGAGTGTACACGTACCTCACTACTCTGCATGGATGACGTTACCAAGTGAGAGCTGTCACTTGAAGATGCTGGGATTAATTCTGGGTCTGCTGGGCCATGCAATATTAAATGAAGGTCGTGATCTTACAGGCATGCATGTACTTAACCTTAAATTCATGCATAAACCCTCTGAGAACAGGGAGTGTAACAACACCATCCATATGTCAAGCCTGAGTGAACAGAGGGATTTACCCTTTGCCACAAATTGCTGCCTGTCATCCTGATAAGACTGCAATGTTTGCTATGCAACGTGCAACTCCGGGGCTATTTACTTGCTCCTGGTGGTAAGCTACAGCATCGATTGCCACGTCAAGGTTGTGCAAAGCAGTGTTTGCTCTTTGTGGTGCTTCTTATCTCTTTGCAGAGCTCACGTAATTCCTTGTGACAGGAGTCTCTCAGTGTTGGACCAGGCCTCAGACTCCTGTCATGCTCCTCTCCTCACCCCAGCACCCTTGAAGGGTCAGGACTTGAAGGTAAGAAAGAGAATTTTATGGGTCATTTGGACATCCAAGGTGGGTACAGGATTCCCATGGGACAACATCATTTAAGTGAAGCAGAGTGTCTAGGTGATGTAAGGAATTACCATTGGAATACCAGCAGGTATCTAACCAGGGCTCCATCTCCTCCTGGTACCCCAGCAAAACCCAGCACACCTCTTGAGCAGCAGCTCTGATGTCTTCGACTCCAGACCTGAGACAAAGTTGCTCCTTCTCTCTCTTGCAATATCCCCACCAAGGAAGTTGCTTCCACTCCAAGCAGCACGTTATTACACCTAAGGAAAACAGCGTGTCCTTAAGAAGATTAATGTCTCCCTGCATGGTGGGGATGGGATGCAGAAAGTTTTCAGACTGCCATTCCTGAGAACCTGCCAAATTCTGCTGGGAGCAAAAAGGGGGAAGTGAATGTTTTATCAGTGGTAATGGCCATTGCTGTATTGCTGAGAGATGGGTCTGTCATCTTGGGTCTGATCCCTTTGTGCAATGAGAAACCATGCTGACATCAGTACTGGGTCAGGCTGCCAAAGGACTGGTTCCAAAGTAAATCTCCTGTTGTATTGAGCTCCCTGCTGTTCAGACTATTTCATTATCACAGTGATAATTGTGATAGTCCCTCATTCCCAACCAGGAAGCAGGCTGTTCATTCCCTCTGATCCCTCTGTTTATCATGTGTTTATCTAGAAAAGCTTGGACAAAAATGAAAAGGGGGGAAATCTTTTCCAAAGGCATGGAAGTAATCCAGAGAGGTTGAACAACTCTCCTGGCAGCTGCGTCCTGCTGTGACGCAGCTCTGCTCTCAAGGCTCTTGTGGATGGGATGGGATGGGTGGAACAGCCTGAACCCCCCAGTATTTGCAGTCATTGAGAAAGGAGCGGAACCCGCTGGCCAGCCCTGCTGGCACAAGGCCCTCATTGGTCCCATGGAGGGGCTGACCCAGCAGCCCCGCTCATACAAATCTGGGGTGTGCAGAGCCATCGGGCCTGAGGGTTTTAGGCAGAGCTATTGGGGCCTGTGGAGTTTGGCTGTGCACAGGGGAGACAAGGAGCTCATGGCAAATGGTAGTTCAAGAGGAGAAGGTATTTTCTCCTTGGGACCTGGATGAAAGCATGGAAATAGAAACTGGGCTCAGAATGGTTAAGAGGAAAGAGGGTAGGAGTGGGAACAAAAACCATCAGGTGATGGTAGGTGTAAATGAGTGGGAGGGAGACTGCAGCAGGTCAGGAAGATCTTGTTAAGGGGAACTTAATGAGACTATAAAAGCTGCTGTGAAAGTCAGCAGCTCCCAGGCCTTTCCTCTGGTGAACCTCTCCTGGTGAGTAATGTTTTTAAGTGTCCTACTCTTGAGTTTGGGGAATTAACTTGTTAGATAAGGTAAAGCAAAAGACAGCGCATGGAGGTCCGATAGCAGAGCCTCTTCCAGAGGTTGCTGAAATCAGGCAGGAAGCAATGTGGAAAATTAGAGGACCGGTACTGGTAAAAAGCTTCTCTGTGAAGCAGAGCTATTGGCAGTGCTGTTAGCTTGTGGTGCAGGCCAAACCTTACCCAGGTCTCCCAGCCTTTCTGTGTAGCAGATGGGTGTGGGTTCCAGCCAGTGAGGGAATTATCTGCTCATCCAGAGTAGGTCCGGGTTGGCACAAACTGTTGCACATCTGGGGTGCTCTTTGCTGGTTGAAATTTGCTTATTCCCTGCACCTCTGCCAGCTTCCAATTAGCTGTGTGGGGCAGGACTGGCAGCAAACCTTTCCTCCACATCCCCTAGTCTCTCTGTGCATCTGCACATGCAAAGTGCAGGATCCTTCTGCCCAGAATTCAGCTTTAATTTGTAAGCTTGCTCTGCAGTGACCAGTGACAAACTCAAGCCCTTCCTGTATGTTCACTCAATGTCTATACAGGGTACAATGCTTGTGCTCTGAAGAGGAGCTGTCACAGTGCAGTAAATGTCAAGTCACGCTAGAACCCAGTAGGTAGGACAGAGAGGAACGGGCAGTAGTTCGTGTTTGGCACTAACTAACTATTCCAGCTCCTAAAATGCCATGGATTCACTGTCCAGTTCAACCACCTTTTTGTCTAAAGGCAAAAAGCCTATCTGCAAACAGGAGGTGCTGGATGCTATCGGGCAGTTACGCAGACTTTGCAGGACAATTGCCCACCAACACAGCAAAGAGCATCTGTGACCAAAGGAAGAGGGACTGTTGCTGGTCTTTGTTTTAGGGCAGTGTTTGTTCAAACCCTTGCCCTCTCATCCAGGTTGAGCTGTTTGTCTGTGCAGTGACTTGTTAAACAGCAGGTATTCAAACAAGCCTCTCATCCCTCTGTTTGAAGGCTGGTTGGAGATAACCCTGTGTTCATGCTGAAGCGGCAGCTCCGTTACTCATTGCAGACTGAGCCAGAACGAAGAGTGTGGTTAGAAACAGAGGAACAAACAGCTCAGTGAGCCTTTCAGCCAAAGCTTCATGACTCAGGAGGAGCAGGATGGCAACAACATGAGCTGGTGCCTATTTCCTGCAGACAGCCAAGCCACGGCTAGCTAGTAAGATCTAATATAAAGCAATATGAGAGTGCTCTGTACTTAGACAACATTTGTTCTCTGCTCTGGGGCTTTTTTCTAAGACACTCTGGTTCCCAGATGCAGGGAATGCTATTTTTCATGTCACACCCAAGAAATGATACTCCTCCTTTCCCTTGATTTACAGCTGCTTTGAGTTCTGCCTCCCTCATGGTAATATCCAAGCCAAGAAATTAGACATGGTTGTTCCCAAGGCAGTAAAGCTGAAGGCACAGGATGGAGGTGGTGGCCTTTAGGCTGTGTGTGGAGGTGCCTGTGCTGCAGATCCCCCCAGTAGGCTCTGAGGGGCTGTGTGGGATAGAGGATGTTTTCGGGATGCCTCATAGGACGGAGCATTGGGTGAGACCAAACCTCTTCACAGGGCTCCGTTAGGATAAGATCAAAGCATGCCTTTGCTGTAGCGTGTCTGATGGTGTTGCTGTCAGGTGGTTTGGTAGGTGAGCTTTAACATCCACCTTTTGCTATGAAAAACCAACCCAAATCAAACAAAAAAGAAGCCCATCTGACTGAGCAGTTGATGGATGGAGCTCAGGAAAGTGGATGGCAGCAGCGTTTGTCTTCTCTCAGGTGATGGACACAGGTTGTTACCACCCAACCTTGGCTGGACTAGGTGCACACCTCTGCTTGCCAGGGCAGCATCTGGCTTAAGAGCAACAAATCTCTGAGAGCCTGTATTTCACAGGCAGCAAATGTTTGGAATTCCTTAGATGAGTGCTAATTGAATCCTTGTAAAGGAAATCGACCCCGGGTGCTCATCCTGGAGCAGCCCTTTGTTAAACTCTTAGCATGTGGGTAGCATATTGTGAAATTAACACATCCCTCCCTCCTGGGAGCTGTGATTTAAACTCACATTGCTCTGGCCAGGCAAACAGAGGTGGGGAAGAAATGGATTTGCTCTAAGCAAACAAAGGCAGTAGCCTTCTAAAAAGGACCAGAAAGAGTCTTTAA